CTCTTGGCTACGCTCATGGAATTTGGTGACTGTAGTTTGCTTTAGATTTTAAATCAAAAAGGTAAGTTTTATCGTCAAAACCATCTCTTGAGAGATTTAAACTAAAAAATCTCTGAGAGGTTTTTTTTTTTAAACAAACTCAAACCCCCCTTTGCTACGCTCATAGAATATGGCGACTGTAGATTGTTTTAGAATAATATTGAAGAGGAGATTTTTAATCTCAAAGCTATCTGTAGGGGGGTTTCAACTAAAAACTATCTGGAGGGGGGGTAATCTTAAAGCCCTCGGAAGGGGGATATTAAACTCTTGGCTATCATAGAATTTTGAGTGAAGTTTGCTTTAATTTTATATTGAAGAGGTGGTTTTTAGCTTGAACCCTCGCTGAAGGAGGTTTTCAATTCAAAAACCTCTGGAGTGGGTTTAAACTTAAAGCCCTCTGGATTGGTTTTTTAAACACAAAATACCTCTTGGCTACGCTCATAGTATCTGGTGACTGTTGTATGCTTTAGTCTTATATTGAAGGGGTTTTATCATTTAAAAATTTCGGAGGGGGTTTTAAACTCAAAATTCCCCTTGGCTACGCTCTTGGAATTCGGTAAATGTCGTTTGTATTATTTTATGTTTTATAGAAAACCCCTTTGGCTGCGCCAAGGCAAATAATGGTTTAACATTAAAATTTCACCGAAAATAAACAAAATCAAAGCAAAAATCAGTCATAAAATTCCACACACCCCCCCTTTCCGGGGGGTGGTGCGGGAGGAATTTCATTTTGGAGTTGACAAACACCCCCGGCTACGCCCATGATATATATTTACATATTATTAATGTAAAGCTATAATGATAATAAGGCTGGCTCTACGATCCTCATAAAATGTAATGATACTTTTAAATGTTCTTCGTTAAATTCTATAGATACAATTTTAATCTGACATCCATTCTTCTTGGACTTTTTTTCAGTATGTGGTGAAGAGGAGTATGAAGAAAGTTTAGCGGCTTGCAAACACAAACAATGCCATGCCAAGTATGTACCACTCAACAATTTCGCATACAACGATCACCCGTTTCGGCATGAAAGGATCACGGAAGTGGCTCGACATTATCTGCCCAACGTCTACAACAGAAAGGATGTGTTCGACATCGTCCACGTACTTTACCCGCTTGTGGTCAAGGTGCAGGCCTCTGGAAAGTTATGTGAGTCCGCCAGCGGGAGAGTGGTACACGTCGAGAATCGCAGCATTTCTCATCGAGTCGGTTCTACCGGGCAAGACGGTGCTGTACTCGTGATGACAGCTTGGCATATTGGTAAATACTGTCGCAATAAAGAGATCCGACTGACCTGCATTCTAGACTATAACGACCTCAACAATGTCGGAAAGACCATGAATGTCGTAAAAATATATCACTATGACGAAGAAAGCGATGTTTGTGTTCTTGAATGTCAAGCCCCGGATGCAAACACAGCAGATGTTTTAACGAAACGAGTCGCTGCTTTCGACAGTCTTTATTATAAACTTTACGACCGAATGAAGCAAAAGAAGAAGACCTTCCACCGATGGCAAACATCAGAATGGACTCTGAGTACTTTGGTAATCATTATTTCGCACCCTCATGGGGGCCCCAAACTGTTATCTGTAGGAGAGAGGGTCAAGAGGGATCCTTTTGGCAAGAAACCTGTCACAAGTGATCTGCTTTACAACTACACAGCCCACACTTGTTTAGGATGTAGTGGAGCCCCTGTCTTGGTGTTCGGGTCCCCCACACACAGTGCTGTATTTGTACACAGGGGAAAATTAAAGGTCGATGGTACAAACTGCTCCTCCAAAGCTTGTAGGTTGAAAAAGGACAAACATGGTTATTGTTCTTGCAAAGGCTGGGCATCACACAGTTAATGCATTGTATTAAAAATCCTGTTTTTAGTTAAATTCTGATCTCTTAAGTATTATTTTTTTCTACTAAATTGTAAACAAAGTATTTTTTTTATTTGAACAGTGATTAATTTGTGAAAATATTCATCGTACTTTATTTATATCCATTGTTTCCCTTTCCAGTTAAGAACAGTTTACACGTTCATATTCCATTTCTTGGCATTTATAATTTGTATGATAAAACTTGCATATCCGTGTCTGCGAATGTATCTGTAAGCTATTTGGCAGGTCAATGAATCCGATAAACAAACTTAAAATGTGACTCAATGCTCATATTCCTAATTTTCACCAGCTTGTCTTGCTTAAAAAAATATTTTGCACTACTGCAGCACTGGTCCATTACAGAATTGATTTAGAATTTCTTGATCAGTAGAGAACAAACTGTAATAATAAACTGCTCTAGATTAATATCAACAACTGTTAAGTTATGGCTACTTTAAATAACTGTAGTAGGCCCAATACTGTTGTTAATTTACACGAAAAGACTTACCTAATTGCATAAGATACTGAAACTTTACATAAACAATCAGAAGAAAGGCGAAAAGATAAAGCAAGCAAGACAAGATGGTGAAAAGTTTTAATTTCTCTGGCTGGCAATCTGAACATTAAAAATAAAATAAACTTCATAGAATCCTAAATGGTGCTGGTAAAATCATTGGCAAAAAACAAACCCCATTTGAGCAGCTGTTGGTAGCAAACATTCATAAAAACAAAAAAAGATTCTAGAAATAAAAAAAATCCCCCTTTGAGTCACAAAAGAGATACAAGACCGATACCAAAGAAAAACAGACACAAAAACTATTTTGTTCCCCTGGCAATTAGATCATTTAATAGACAATATCTAATATAAACGTTTCGCATGTAAATTCTAAGTGAGTATCGTGTAAATGTATATTTTCGTTTCCTATTAGTATGATGTTTTGTTTGGTGTAAAGCGCCACATTGTAAGACAAATCTCCTTATGGGTTATAAAGATTATTATTATTATTTAAGGCATATTTCATATTCCATATGCTGGGATAAATTCTTATAAGTGATTTTTCTTCCTTAATGCCATTAGAACGGGTTGCCTGAATGATCCAATGGCTTGTCAGAGTTTTAGTCTCTAGCATGCATGACTAGATTCACGTATGAGAATACGTAGGCTATAAGTATCATATCTTTGGAAGTAACTTTTGTTATTTATAAGATTGTACAAGATATGTAACTTATTTTGACATATCTATCCTTGTATTTAGTATTTTCAATCCATTTTCTAAAGATATTTTTTGCAAGCCTAATAAAGATATTATTATTATTTATTAATTTTCATTATCTGGCACTGTAAGAGTCCGGGAGGTTTGTTAAAGAAAAACATAATTCATTGTAGTTCCCTTAGCAGTGTCCACTGAGAATGTTTTTGATGTGGCAAGTCTGCAGCAGTAGTGCCCTCTGACAGGTAATGAGGATTCTTCTATGAATGCTTAGGGCTTTGAATGTGTTTGTGAGGTTAGTTGTCATTGTCCCTCTGTTGATATAACAATAAGTATATTATTATTTGTATTATTTACATTACCTATAAAAGCTACATTTTGGTTTTTATTCAATATTCTTAGGCGAATAAAAAAGATTCATATATCTTTTTTTTTTTAATTCAGATCTTGCTTCATTGTATGAGTATAATATGCCCTATGATGTAAGTCTAAAACAAAAGCGATGAATATATTAATCAATTCATTAATAGATTTTAAAATTCCCTAAACGTAAATTGTAAGATAGCGCGTACTAGTGAATCAAAATTGTTTAAAAGCTGTGAATGATTTTATTACTTTCTTAAGATGTTATTGTGCAGCTTGGGGTAATTCAATAGAAGAAGTGTAATTTCTCTATTTTAAATTTTATTTTATTAGCCTACACAGATTTTTACAAGGTTTATAAAATTTAATTTACTAAAAAAAAAATTTAACCTACTGAAAAATATTTTGTTTAAGTTAAAATCATTTTTAACAATGAAATCAAATAAAATCTACAAAAAAAACAACTTATATTAAATCTAAATGATTAAAGATAATGTGCATTATTGTACAGTTTACATTTTCAATGAATGAATTAAATAAAAGTCTACTTAACATGTTTTATAATGTTGTACAATTCACAACAGCAGTATTTGTTAAATATCCTTCACAGATCTTTTTTTTTTTTTTTTTTTATAGGATACCTCAGCTTTTTAGCTTTTGACTTCAGTTGTCGAGCTTAGTACATCCTAGGAAATCCTTGGGCTTTTGCCTCTTTTCTTTGCCTCTTTTTTGGGCTCTTGGCCTCTTTATTGGGCTTTTTTTTTTTTTTTTTTTAATAAAAAAGAAGACACACAAACCATCGTTCCAAGTTAATAATAACACGAAGAAAATTTCATTAAAAAAAAACAACATTTTTATCAAAGTCATGTTGCAGGTTTTTCAGTATGATCGCGGAGTAGGCTGCAGCGTAGAATCATTTGATTGCAATGATATGACCCAAAAAATGAGACAGCAGAAGTCCAATAAAATGATACAGCAATGGTCCAGAAAAAGGTAACAGAAAAGGTCCATAAAATGGTGGCAGTAAATGTCCAGAAATTGATGACACCAAGGGTCTGGAAGACATTCACATAAAATTTTGAAAGTGTTCCTTAAAATGAGTATTGCCAAAAATAATTTCATTTTTTTTTTTTTTTTTTAAAGACTTATCAGATCATAAACGATACTTTATCATTAGCAAACGTGAGTACAGAAAGGATGCAAGTATTCTAATAATGTGGAATTATTTGTACATATTGTAATTTGGTAGAAGTTTGTATATTGTATATTTTATATGTTTACAACTTTTCTAATACAGTTGAAGTGGAGAAAGTTTTGTGCCTACCCCCCCCCCTCCTGTCATCCTTTTTTTTGTTTACAATCCCGTTGCTTTTGCACTTTGTTTTTAATGACATTTGTTTCTTTCCTCACTTCAATTTTGGGTTTTTCTACCAAGGTTGTTTCCCTTTTCCTAGGTTTTATATATATATATATATATATATGTTTTCTTGCCTTCCTAAGTTGTTGTTGTTTTCATATATTTCATATATTACAGTCATTCAGGGAAAGTCGATGGCCCATGTATTTTTCATTTTTATTCTTATTACTTGCTATTTTTTTTTAATTAACTTTAGAAATTATGAATTGAATGTTCATTGATAAATTTTTCATTAGTGTTAATTTTGTTAAGGTCGTTATCGATATCGCAAATCACTGACTGAGTTCATTTTTGTTTTGTTGACTTTAATACTGGATGTAGATCTCCATTCGCCTTAATTAATAGCATTAAATATTTTTAATTAATTAAATGATTTTACTTCCACTTTCTTGTTTCATTCATCTTGGCTGTGAAATGAAAAATGAGACAAAGTCGTAAGATGATACATTGAATTCTAAACATTCTTCCATTGCGATTGCGACAATTCTTATTGTTACCATAAACAATGAATCATAGGGCGATCTTACTAACCGAAGGCTCGGTCTTTTATTCGCACTATGTAAAATGATTTGTATTTTTTTTTTAATTAGGTAGATGAACCTAGTTGTAATTTACACATTGTGATAGAAACCACTAAACTATATTTAGAAAAATAAAATTAAGAAAAAAAAAAAACTGTTCGATTCACGTGATGATCCCCCACGTCTGCTTCTAGTGTTCATTTCTTTTTAAATTGATTTTAATGCCCAAGTTGTTGATGTTGACAGTTTGCTTCGTTTTTTTTTAACTTTGTTTACATTATATGGTCAGTCATGTAGTGCTTACTGATGACTTATGCTAATCTGTATTTGGTTCACTGCTTGGTGATTCTGGGGGTGAAGGCGTCTCTGACAGGCGTTACAGCCCAGGTCTACACTATTGGTACCACACAGTTCTGATTTGTTTGAGTGTTCACTGTGAGAGACTAATTTCTTTACAGATCGATGCCGCCCCCCCCCCCTCCCCAAACAGGACACGTCAAAAGAATGGAAACAGGAAACTGTGAGAGAGGAATCCACTGTTGTAAAAACCATTTTGCTACCTATGAACGAGGCTAAAGTTCGAATTCAGACTCCAGCTGAAGTGTGTTTACTGAACGCCTATAGCCAGCACGGAAACCTTCTGCCAGATACCTCCTTCTCCCAGATACCCCCTTCTCCCAGAAACCCCCTTCTCCCACACAAGAGACAAAAAAGATCAAAGCAAACTGAGCATGGCATGGTGTGATAAATGCGCTATTCAAACCAGCAAACATACTTTTAATATAATCTGGATGACATAAACTGCTTGGCTATGTATCAAGTGAGTTTGAGTTCGAATCTCGACTAGATTTTTGGCAGCACAGAAACCTTCTCTTAGATATCCCCTCCCCCCCCCCCCCCACTGGTCCACCATAAGGCACTGAGCACGACCTAGATTAAAAGATGCGCTTATAAAAAGTAATTAAAAAAAAATTAATTATAATCAGTTTCATTGATTATCCTACGCACTAGAATACTTACACACACATCTTTATGTATTTCATTTTTTTTTATTTGAAGTACTGAAATTCCCTGCCCTAAGCTATCAAAAGCTGAAAAAAAAAGGGAAAAAGAAAGCGAGAGGTCAACGCTTGGTATTTTAAATATTTAGTACATTGTATTTCTTTTAACTGTCATTAAATAAGTTATATTTACCTGTAATCAAAGCTCTAGAAGAAATATAACAAATTATGTCCTTATTGTCAACGCAGAATAATTAATATGCAGCTCAAAAGAGATAACTATGTCAAACTTTACATAGATTATATATCTACGAATTGCTTCCCTTGGACATTTTTTTTATTCGACCTATAGAACTAGTTTATTTTATACTTTTAGTTCATCTTATGGTTTACAAATTTAATTCAAGTACATATTACGTTCTGTCTCTGAAAAAAATCACTGTCTTAGGATGCTTTAGTTTAGCGGTTCTCAACCTTTTTAGTTCCACAAACCCTTTTTACAATAGTCCACTATGTGGCGACCCCCAGCCGCAAAATAATGCCTTCGCTAATTTTATAAAATCGTAACCATAATGTAAATTATCTGATAGAATTACCAAAGCTGTTTCTTTAATCATCAAACTATAAATATTTCTGTTTATAAACAGTGGCGTCACTAGAGGGGTGCGGGGGGTGCGGTCCGCACCGGGTGACACCCGTTAAGGGGATGACACCCAAGTTTAAAAAAAAGCACTTTGGGAATAACTGATAATTTTTTTTAAATGACAGTGGCCAAATATTGGAACATGCTATTCACAATTAATATATTGATCTATCTACTTGTTTTCGACTATACACACTATAATTGTTTGATGAAAGTATATCAAAAGGTTTAAAATGCTATAGTATACTTAATATATCAACGAAAAAGTGAAACCTTACTTTCAAATGTTTAATATATGCATGTATGTATATGAACACTGCTTTGATTTTAAAAAATTGTTTTAATCGAATCTATTGAATTTGTAGCTAGCAACGTAATATCAGGATGCCAACCAATAGTTACTGTTTAGCAAATGACGACATTCTTCAGGCATTAAATATTATTGAAATCTTACATGTAATTAATGTAAATTTTGTAGAATTGGAAAGTAAATAAGTGGCTATTGAGATTTCTGAAGATGATGATGTTATTTCATTTGTCTGTAAAAGAAACTGTAGCCTCAGAAACGTGGAGAAAAAATTATAATCATTAATTAATTGTCATTGCATCATAAGTGTGTCATTAAATCATAAATCACTCATTACATCATATATCGCCAATTACATCATAAATCACTCATTACACCTCGCCCCCAACATTTTCTTTCCGTCACCAGGTGGTCACAGCACAAGTAGATGTCACAGTTCGTGAGCAGTGAACGCCCCGCGAGAGTTTCAATCGATTTCTCCACCAGCACGTGCAGCTACATGACTCACGACCTAATTCACCTTTTTTATTTTAAAATAAATTAGCAATTAGTTTAACTTTGATTAACTGTTAATTTCTTTTTTCAGATATACCTAGATCTAATTATATTTTGAAGTCCATTGTTTTACAAAAAAATTGATTAGAATAAGACAAACTATATGAGTTGACTAGACATAGTCTTTTTATCACAAGATACAAGAGCCCGCCAGTGTGTCAGGACGCGTAGACTTCATTGATCCAAAACAACTGGTTGGCGGTAAAGAGTTGCAAGAGGCAGACAACCCGAGATGTGTACGTGGTTTATATTTACGTGGTTACGTGAAGAAAGAGATTAAAGACATCCACACATCATTCGTCGTAACTGAACTGTAAAGATTGGACTTTAGGGACAAACCTCAACTTTCGTTTCTGTTGTATTGAATTGCTTACAGACTTTGGAATTCCCAGCGGTTTTTCTATAATAAGTATCCCATTAAGGTAAGCCTAGTGTTGATTTTTAAGATCTATACTCTTGATATCAAGATAGGTGTGTAATCATGGCCAATCCTTATCTAGATCAAGTTAGGCCTTATTTCTAAGTCCTATAGTGGTACCATAACTATGCTATGACTGCCTGAATAAACGAACAACAAGCGGGCTCTACTTATCACATTGCATATTTTGTGGATCTAGAATATATATTGATATGTAAACAAAATATTGTCTTGGACTTTATTGTAAGAAAAATCATTTTCATTTTAAAATGGCGACTGCATATACTTTATAGTTATTGTGTAAATATGTTTTAATACATGCAATTAAAATAACAAAGGGCTTATGGATCTATGGACCTCTAGTTGTTTAACTCTGATCAATGCGGGGACCAATCTTTGTGTTGAATATGGTATTTTGAGTCTTTACATTTCAGAAAGACAAACTTTTCTCCTTTTTTTATATATATATATATAACTTTATTTATGTAACATTTGTATAGGGTAAAAAAAGTGAAGATAAACTTTTAAAGTTTAACAGTCTATAAGGCTGGTGAGATCTTTGTTGTGGCCTAGTTCCTCGTGTACGGAGGAGGGTGGTGGTGCTTAGTTATTGACCCTAAGCCTCAACTAGTTGTTATTTCACCAATGTCTAAGAATATGTCTTAGTCCTGAAAAACTTTACCTTTTCAACAGGACTGGTCATATTGGCTGCTGATATTCCAAACTGAGTGTTCACATTGTTGGCTATCACGTTAGAATGTAACTCTGGTTACTTAGAAATAAATTACAACCTTATTTACATCTGTAATAGGTAGACGATAGAATTATATTATATATTTTTTTTTTACAAATAAACACACAAACACTGGTCGTTCTGGGTTTCTTGGGACCAAAATGGTAGAATAATTATTTCCGTGTTCCTGTCTTTCTGTTGCTATAATAAACTGCAGTCAAGAAACTCTTTCCTTAGTTTTTCTTTTTCTTTTGTTGATTAAAAAAAATCATCATAGTCATAAAGCTGAATGTGTCAGACATGGAGTTACAAACATGCACATGTCATACTGTCACATCCTTTTGGTCTGTCACTTCCATTAAAAAAAAAGCATGCTTTAAAAGAGAGAGTGCGACCCTGACATTCAATTCTCCTTGATTCTAAAAAATAGCGAACACTATTTGATATGAACAACTAGAATAATAAATGAACATGTTTAAGACGCTACATACAACTAGATTAATAATGAATATGTATCAGGTCACATTCAAAGTAAAAGGTTCCCCTTTCAGACCTTATGGTCTATTGGGCAGATTATGTAAAGGTCATTTGTTTCTGTGGCCTACGGTTATCAAGTGTATCATGTGGCCAGCACAACGACCAACCGCCTTTACTTTTCCCCAACTCAGGTACCTATTAGATAACCATAGGCCACATAATCAGATGACCTTTACATCATCTGCCCTATATATCACAAGGTCTGAAAGGGAAACTTTACTTTACTTGGGTGGACCGAAAGATAACGAAATTAAAAATCCCAGTGTTCACCAGAATTCGAACTCGGGACCCCTGGTTAGAAAGCCAAGTGCTTTACCTCTCAACCACCGCTCTTCACATTCACATTCAGGTGTTATAAGGTTTGTTTGAAATAATATATCTATATAAAAATAGTCAGATAGTCAGCATGTATAAGACTTTTGAATCTCAATGTCAGCTGTAGTGATTATGAAAACAAAAATCAGTCATTTAAAAAAAAAAACAAGCAAGCCGTGAGCGTGTTGTGAGGTATCTGACTTCTTTCGTGACAAGGCGGAAGTTTTAAAGTCACACTTCAATGCTAAACAGTTGGCTGCGCTTAACCGAATCGAACCTACGACGTAATCGATAACTGGATTGATGAAATGTGACGTCATACATTGTGGAACATTTGTAGCTTTTAATGTCTTTTTTTTTTTACATAGCTTATATACACTCAATCCGTCTGTCTGCCCTTCTGTCTGATACACCGTCTGTCTGCCCTTCTGTCTGATACACCGTCTGTCTGCCCTTCTGTCTGATACACTGTCTGTCTGCCCTTCTGTCTGATACACCGTCTGTCTACCCTTCTGTCTGATACACTGTCTGTCTACCCTTCTG